GATTCACCGTCAGTGACAATTTTAACGTGTTGGTTGTAACGGGATTTTTCAATTATAGAATAAAAGGCATGTTGATACGCTTTAAGATTGTGAAAACACTTGTACAACTGCATCAACACAATCTTATTCAATTGCAATTTCGACCAACGGTGTTTATCCAAATAAAACGATACAGTGTATTTGTATAAATGTTAATTACTTATGAATTTATTTTTCTTTTGAGTCGCGCTTGCCACCTGGTCGGCAAGTGCATGCGCACTCAACTACATGTATATGGAGCATGGTGCTGATATTTCCGTTCACCTACACTAAAGTTACAAAAAGCACTTTTTAATAATTTAAGAGAAAATGTATTTGTTTATAGCAATAGTATAATTGAACACCTTCATATTTGATTAAAAGACCATTATACATGTAATACATTGTAAGTATCCGTCATAGGCCAGTATTTATGTGGGAAGAAACCGGAATACGTGAAACCCCCACATGGTTGGGCAGGTCCGATACGGGAATTCTTCCCCGTTCGCCTTCATGGAAGGCCAGTGCGCTATCCACTGTACCACCCGACAATCCGTACTCACACACATACATAACAAACATCTAACACGGACAAGAAAACTTTGAGGTAAAGGATAGCTTCGCTTGTGAAAAACTGCGAACTGATCCAAAATTAAATAGTCCCTAAATAATGTCCGCTGACTGTTAATGTTGTCTAAGGCCAGAGACACTTTAAATTTGTGCCGCGTGTCTATATCACTTTATCAGTATCAAGTATTGGACCCGATGGATTTTTGACTCGAAATCTATTCATGTTTAAATAACATAGACATCTCATCGAAGTTATAAAGCTATGACAATCAATTTTGAATACACAATATAGTTAAATGGACGTGATTTTAAAGTAGTTAATTGAGTCTTGTAAACAAAGGGCACTTATGATATTCGATATCAATGACCGAAATGGATTATACACAAAACATAATTAACGGACAAATATAAAATTTAGTTTGATTCAATAAAAATATTTCATATTCAATTATTACTTTAGTGCTTGCGTACTTTAGTGTCACATTTCTGAAACAGTATATATTAGGATAAATATACGATAATGCATTTTAGTTTTCTCAAACATGGTTATGCGTTAATGCTTCTATACTTACGGAAACAGTACATATTAAAATCAACATCTGATAATGTATCGAAATATTCTCAAACACCATTTGACATTAATGCTTTTATACACTATCAAATTGTAAATAGATGTCATGTTTGTTCATAAATAGACAGAACATGATCAGTAAACAGGGTGGGTCGAATAAGATCGAATTAATGTTAGCATGGAAAACTTGGCATTTAGTGGTCAATAAGTCGTATTAGCACATGTACAATAACTATTTCGTTATCATTTGTTGAAAAAATGTTAAAGCTTATATAGGAGTTAACACATATATCAATTTATCTGTATTAGTAAATACTGCAAAATATACACATTTTCTGCAGTTTATTTTTATTAACATCAGGCAAGTAGCTGCCCATTCCGTCTTTGCGTATTGCAGAGTTATCTTCTCTTGGGAGCAGGTATTGATTGTTACGTCACTTATTTGTGAGAGTAACGTCATCAATGTTTGAGAAAACGACGTAATTTTTTCATACAAACCAATGACGTAACAATCAATACCTGCTTCCAAGAGAAGATTACGCTGGTACACGGGACTACATGATTAAACAAAAAAGCACCAAAAATATAGCTTGTGACATACTGAACGTGTTTTATTTTTCCGCCGGACACCACACTTTCAGTCATCTTTGAAATTCCGTGGGTTACGCTTATTAACGTACAGAGAGTGAGAGCAACCACGTGGACTTAGAGGATGGCCATTAACTCGCATATCTCACATACACCGGCTACCCAGATCGGTTTAGTACGGAGTTGAAAGCATGGCGCAGAAGACCATTTTCGTTTTTCGCGATCCAGACGGTTGAACTGGTTGGACAACAGTTGTTTGTTTATGAAATAAGATCGGACCCAGTAATCGGATGCTGCTTTCAGACGAGCCTTGACAAAGCCTTGCAAGACCTGCATAAGCTTCTAAATGTCCGTAAGGATTTTTACCCGAAATTGTTACGAACAGGCACGACTGTGATAGGCTTTGTCCACATGCACTGAGCTGGCACCGTTTTCGGATGTACATTTGTTCAAATACGTCAAAACAAACTTGATATTGGATCAATATAATTACCGACCTGAAAGAGTAGACCTTGCCTATGTTGTTAATTGCTACTAGTTCGGTTAAGTGGGGTTTACTATAACCGGATTATTTATTTAAGCTCCGTCAGTGATGGTATGTAAAGGGCAATTTGGATTTATACATTTGTATACAAAACGCTGATATTGTCTCGCCTGCGACGATAGTCGAGAAGACGAGTTATAAAGATTATATTTTCCTGTCGGCGACGTCGGCGTTAATAGGTCGAGAGAGCCCTTTTCCGAAACGACGGCTATGAAGTGTGTTCAGTTGACCGTAGTGACCACAGGGACCTGATAATTTGTAACAGCTGTATCTGGACCGAAATTGAGGTGTCAAGAATAATGATTTGACAAAGTTTAAGGAATTTAGACCAACTAACGGTAAAATCCCCCCTCCCCCAAATCTACCGAAAGTTGATCTTAACTCCTAAAACATGTCAACTTATTCTGAACACCTTCAATGATGTCCAAATATAACTGTGATAAATTATCAGGTCCCTTTGGTAGTGACTACATCCTCTGAATTCTAGGGTTTCGGTATATAAATATTTGCAGACTTACGTAGTTCTATACTCATTTACAGTGCGCCTTATTCAAAAACCAATATTATAAATTTCCGAGCTGTGTCGTAACAGTTACAGGGACATATTTCCTCTTTCGCATATATAACAGTTATGATTACCTTTCCCGGTGGCCAAGGGTTTCGCTAACGATGTTTAAAATGTATCCCAGTATATTTGAGATGGCGAGAGCAGCACTCCAGGATTTCTGAAACTACTGAGTAACACTGATCAAATGATAAACATATCAATGAATATTTGTTTGAGCAGAAATATAATAACTAACAGAAGATAATTTATGACGTTTTGTGAAATTAAAAAAAAAATTGCAAGGGTCACTTATAGGATAACAAATTTGTGCCATACTTTGGCCGAACCATAGCCGAATCACATACATTCAATCCCGGTTGGGTTTTTATAAACTAAATAAGTCTGCTTGTACCTTGTCTGAGCCTAAACGATAGTAGATTAAAATTCTGGTTTGAGTTTTATAGACTTAAATAAACATCTGTAAATATTTACGGTAATTTCAAAAACAAACATATACTATAGTTCGGAATTGACGTCAGTCAACGTCTTATCTGTTAAAGATCTTGATTTGTTTTGAAAATAGTTGTTATCTCTCAATCGGTTGTGTATTCAGGACTGTAGCCAACAGAATTAACGCCACAAAACGATTTGATTATAAAACTTATAATCTCGTTTAAACCAAATGAGTATTACTGAATTTTACTTAGACCTTAGAATCCCTCTAGGCCTGATATTGATCTTTAATCCAATTAAAACATCGCAACAATGTCAAGTACTTTTATACCATAACTTGCAAGTCACAAATTAAAGCCATTTTGTGCTCAAATACATTCATTGTCTAGGGGATCCCCATGCCACTGAACTCCCAACCCCCAAAACTATTTAATTGGTGAGTTCTCCCATCCCCCGGTATACCAGTAGCTTTGTTTAACACTTTCTCAGCAGAACATGATATTTTGCAGAACTTTTATTTGAAAATAACAATGAGGGGAAAAAAACAATAACAATAATATGAAAAAAGAAAATGATAATAATATTCAAGTATAGCCTTTGGCTGGGGTTGATACCTGGAAGTGAGACGATGCGTTCGTTTGGAGACACGTCATAATTCTATTTTTAGAAACACCCAGTTTTTTAACAAAAATCACACGCTCCAAGTCAATATCGGTTTTTATCGGTGGACACGTGATGCACTTCTGGCCAATCACTTGTCGGGAATAATATGAAAAAATAATAGCGGTTTTTATCAGTGGACACGTGATTCACCTCTGGCCAATCACTTGTCGGGAATAATATGAAAAAATATTAATTAAAAAAATATTAACAAAAGAATATCAGAATCAACAAAGCAGGTTTCTTAAGGGTTGAATAAAATATGTTCCAGACCAGGATTCGAACCCTGGTCCTCTGATCTATATACCATCACTCTATATTTGGTCATCCTTCTCGGTTATAACTTAACAGCAATGCATACATGTCCTAGGATTTAAAAAATATCAGATCAACTTAAAAGATAGATCACAAAAACACATACATGTTTCAACACATATCGAAAAATAAATAATAATTAAAATAAGATAAATAAGAAAAAAATATTCTTGTGAAAATGCACTTGTAAAGCGGCCGAGCTGACTTCTCTGTATGCTCGGTGAGCAGGTCGATTCGCCCGAAGGTGACGAGCTGTCGTGCGTGACAATATGGAATGTAGTCTACACTTGGCCAAGCCGATATATGGACGTATTTTGTGAACTGTTGGTACACTTGCCGTTGCAAGATAACCTTATAATTAACATTCATATAACTTGTAGCTTCTTACTACAATATCATAAGGTTTTACACTGATTGCATGGTTTTGTATGGCACTGCTTCAACTGAAATCAAAATGACCGTGACCCTTAAATTAAAATGACCGTGACCCTGAAATTAAAATGATCACCTTCCGAATTAATTGCAAGATGTAGATTTAAGACCTGTTCCTATGTGAACAGGTTTTCCGTATTTCGCGTGCGGCAATGGTCGTGTTACAAACAGAAACGAATATAATCATTTAACTAAACCAGTCCTAGATAACTGATCTTGCTGTACATTATGTTCCAAAATGAGCTTCTTTAACTAATTCAAATCTTACTTACATGTAGCCCCATTGTTTTGTCTATTTATAGAATGTGCTACGGTGTCCAGCGTCGGCCCGTCCAAGGGGAGCACTAATGGGGAGACACGACTGACCATAAAAGGGTCAGGCTTCGCCAAAAACCAGTTTAACTACGGAGACGGGAACGCCCACCTTGGTAACACTGTTACCCTTGTGTCTGGGACCCAACAGTTTGACTGTCCCGTACACAAAGATGGCACCCACGAGACGCAGATCATGTGCTATACTCCGTGAGTATGACGTCACAGTGTTTTGACATCACTGTCATTCTTTTATCGGATTCAATGTGTTTAAGTCTTGATTGTAGCAACTGTAGTCAGTCATTCTTCCATAATTATATTTTAGCGTTGCTAAACATTAAACTGTCAATGACTGAATGAATTTCCCAGTAGAGAACAAAATAATTATACATGTATCTGTGGAGAAATATTGTAAATGTACTTATCGATAATAATACCTTAGAAGGCTTACCCAGCAGTTGAAAAACACTAAATATTGTTTTCGCAATGTGATTTCTATGGATGGCATTCATAATTTTAAAAGTGTTCTTACAATTACAGCATTGTGTTGGGAAGAACAAATACAATCTCACTAATTTTCAATACATGTATATGTTTCTGGTTTGTCTCCTGGTGTTCCGCAATGTGTTCAATTTTCTTTTTTTTAAACAGACACATGCCTGTTGACTCCTTCAGTGTGAAAGTAACTGTGGATGGCGTTGCTATTGACGACAACAATATATGCAACAACTGTCCATTTGCTGTAAGTTTCCTACAGGGTTCAAAGCAAGAGATGTAAATTACAGGCAAATTTCGTATTGCAATATTAATGGAATTATTGCAATATATCACAGTATATTGAATTTCTAAAAATTCATTTTAATAAAAGTTGTCCATAAAGAAATAAAATGGTGTTCTTTTATCAAGTTTCAATGAATTTTGAAATTGTTACACCATTCAAGTTTAATTTGGATAACATTCATTCTTTTTTAGCGTTATTTGTTTAGCATAACTCTGCCTTGTCCACCAGAATTGTTGAGTGACAATTACACTTATATTACAAAAACAGAATTTGCTAAGAAAAAATGCTTAATTACTTGCCCTTAAACGTCTTTAAATATCCATATTTTAAACAAACATGCTATCGATTATCAAAACAAAAATATGTTAAAACTTTTAAGAATGCATTGGTCTGCTGTATTCATGTGATAAACACATAAATTTATGCCAATAAATTTGCTTGGTTTATATAACACGAAATGTATCCTACTTACAGACTAGCAGCTCGAACACACCAACCATTACTTCGATCGAGCCTCGTTCTGGTCCTCCAGGTAAGTGGATGGTCGAAATCGGAAAGCATTTCCAATTTTATAGTAGATATTTGTTGGGGGTTGCGAAGAGTTATTCGTCATTCTGTTTACGGCATGTAATGCGGTCTGTAGACTGTGTAAAGTGTGACCAGAGAATATTCACAGGATATCGCTTACTCTATTTGGTTTTGCTGCATGTTCCGCGTTGTGTTACGTTTTAGTAAGATCTCGGCCGATTATGTAGGAGTTGCTCTAGATAATATATTTGTTTTAATCTATTGGATATAACAGAACTATAAACAGGGACAGTATGTCGTGTTACCCAATTGAGAGTTCATGTTGTCGTGTGAACTGAGAGGATTGCTTCCATTTTCGAGCTAGTGAATGTTGCATTTCCAGTAGCGTTGCTGTAGATTCATGATTTTATGGGTTGAACCGTGTCCTTATGTTTGTCTGTGCATCCGTAGTAAAAAGCTTATTTACATGATACCTCATGAAGCCCTCATCAGATTATGTTGATATTTACAACAAAGTGTTTAAACACGATATTCAATTACTAATTAGAAATCAGTGGTCATCATTCTTGGTGAAAAGGCCAAAGGTCACATTTGACCATCTTGTTGGAAGGAGGGTATGCCTATATGAGGTCCGCTGATTTTGTGCTATGTTCTTTGTCTTTATATGTTTGTAGCTGCAAAGAGAATCACGTCTTGTTTATTGTATTTAAGGTACGATTGTGAAGTTTTACGGGAAGATCTTCACTGACAAGTACGGCAGTAACAAAGACGAGAGTACAAACGGCAAATCTGTCAGCATCTTACGGTGTGTACAAACTATTGTCAGGCTATGGATATTTATTAATTTCTTTGAGGTTTTTACTTTTCATAACATATCGTCCGTCTCCCGTTGTGAGTGTTCTGAAATGAACTGTTTCTAAATTTTACATCCTTCTCCAGTGTTTTAGATTGATAATTTCCCAAAAGGGATGAAGGTCCTGAGCAATTACATGCTTAATATTTTTTCATGAAAATATCATTGAGAAACGAAAAAATAAAGCAGCAACCAAAACATAAGGAAGGAACAAAGTGAATTAAGAGTGTTAAAATAAATAAATATTAAGTGTTTAGTTTGAAAAAAATATTCAGATGAAAAATAAGATAACAAATGTAAATTCAATGAATTTCTTTATAAAAGAATATCGAGAACACTTTTGTTGAACAAAAAATATGGGATATAATTGATTTTAATACCAGGTTATTGGGTTTTTGTTCTTAGAGTTTACGTTGGAGGACAAAGCTGTGAGCTGAAGAAAGCTGATGATGTGTTGTAAGTATTTGTTGGCTAAATAAATAATTGTTATGTTTCCAATGCACTGCCAAATATCGACATAATAAGACTTATCGAAAATGCTAAAAAAAAGAACTCACTTGTGATTTGAATAACTTGGAAAACAATATTTTCGCGTTTTTTTAATCATTTTGTTTTGCAATAATATCCGAAAAAATAACTTTTTTTTTTCAGATGTTGATGTGGTTTATATACAGACTATAGTTTTGAATGATTTGCATATAATTCATACACAAACACGCGTAGATACATACACAATAATACATACCTACATGTACAAAAAAAAATGCTAACAACTTCATAAACATAATAATAAATCTTAATTCTTATTTACATAAAAGTTGACACATATGTCCACAGTTCGTACATCCGTGCGAAATATTTTTTGCGTATGCACGCGCGCACGTACGCTAGAACACATGAACGCGCAAATATCCATATTCATTGGTGCCTTTCTATAACCAATATATTTCTTTCCACAGTTACGGAATCGAGCTTGACAACGGTGGCGACAGTGACTATGGTTACATCAAATGTAAGATCGGTGAGACTGGCACCAAAATAGGTAAGTTAACCCTTGGCCTCTGGTCATCTTGACCATCAAACTGTTCTCCAGTCCCTGAGAAAAAATGGTGGTTTTGATGTCACAATTTATGTCACTTTTACTCTGACAAATTTACTTATGACATTATGAACGTTATTTACTTGATTCTAGTTCAGGGGATGTCTCTCCTACCTGCTCAGGATAATTATATATGTCACCTGTGTATCACACTGTACGTGTTTGGGTAGTGCTAGAATTGTAGAATGCTAGCTGTTAGCGCCGAAATGGCATCTCCGGCTGTATATTCCCCAGGGAGTTGAGAAAGATATTGGCTGGTTGCAAAGGCCCTATAACCACGGATAATAATTTGTTAATCGCTTTGAGACGACCTACGAACTAGGTTGTGATAAAGCGGTATATCAGATTCTCGAAGAATTATTATTAGTATTACTGGTCAGTACCATTTAGAAGACTGTACGTTACCGTAAGATGTGACTTATGTGTATGTACCCACTCCGCTTCCTGCAGAACCGGTGGCTTTATTATGTGTCGTATGCTAAGGAGATGCTCACGAAAATTGTTCTGCCGTCCCGATAATAACGCCTAGGATATATAATGCTCTTTTCTGATTCTCTTTTACTCTTTTATTTAGGCGATGCCCTCCTTTTCATGTGACCTTATTGTTGCCAGTGCGTTAAACCAAAACAAACAGCAGAATTGTCTATTTGTGCATCTTTACCCATCTCCTTTTATTAGTTATAGTTAAAACTAGAAACACGTATTGGTATCAAATACATATTGTTTGTTTATTAACAGGAAGCATCAACGGTACCTTCATCATATCTGACGAATATGGCAGGTGAGAAACTCTTTCATTACAGACGTTTATTTTATATAGATATTGACTGGTATTAAGATAATATTAATATATTTCAAAGATATGATTTTTACGCTTGGGGTGTGGAACCTTTACCTTTTCTGGATGTTATCAAATTCAGCATTTTAGCCTTTGTAGGAACAAGTCCCCTCGGCTCATTGATGGTAACATAAAGGTCAGTTTCCTTTTAAATTTCTTCGTCAAAACTAATTCTTAAAGACCTAGTTTGTCTATTTAGGGCTGAACCAAGCAAGGACCTGTACCAAGTCGGTGGAAACTATCAGTTCTACATGTTTCAAACCTACGCAGGTGAGTATGCAGTTTTGTCTATATGATGGAACGAGGACTAGTCCAAGTATGCATTTATGTTGACGAGTGGAAAAAGTCACTTTTAATTGCTACTGTATATGTAGTAGAGTTTAAATATAATTGTGGTTGTCAGAAGTTGCAAAAACATTACCCCCATCCAACCTCTGTATGCATTTTAGGAATGCCACGACATTGTCTGCAGCCTGACATGCATTATATATATTTGTCGTAGGTCGAACGTTCATTTTGTTTAAAATTCTTAAATTTTCTCTGAAATACTCAACAAGCCATGATCAGAATCAAAATGTATAACAATATTTTGTTTGAAAAATGGAATATGTGAAAAAATAAAATTGTTTGGCCTTTGCAGTTTATTTTCTTCATGTAGCATCTGAATAATTACAAGCTCATACATACGTATGTGTATAAGAGGCATAAACATATAGATTACACACATATAATGTCAGGATTAATTGGTATTTATATACGAAATTACCATAGATTAACTGTGAAAGTGACCTATTTCCAATCTTGTAGCTTAAAGGATTTATAAACATCCCTACCATTACAGTTAATAATGCACATTTCAGTCTAGCCGAACATATTAAAAACATGCTTAAATGTCACAAATAAGATTAATAAGATACCCAAATAAAATAGCATTGAGTGATGCTTAGTCACAGAATGTACGGGCAGTAGCTTACTCAAAGAAGATGAATATATTTCCTTGCAATGCATTTTTTTTATTCAATCTAATTATTCAACGTTCTGTCTGCCAGAGATCAGTTCGGTCACTCCAGCCACTGGCAGCGTGGAGGGAGGAACCCTTATCTCCATTGCCGGAAACAATTTCGACGAAACTCGCACGGGTGCAGTGGTAATGGTTGGAGGTAAGTATCGGAACATAACCTATTATTTTATTTACGTACACATTATTTACCTCCATTAATTGTTGGGCCATGTTTGAGTTCATATCACCGTTTATTGAGAATGTAACATGATTATGTTCCTATGTGTTTGCTATATATTTTAGTTTTCTCTTTCTTAGGGGTTCTGCTATCTCACATGTAAAAACATAACTGAGTTACCTCCCATTGAAAATTCCTTATAATATTAGAACACGCGTTATTATATAGTTTTGTTCATAAAAAACCCGTATATGTACTACAAACTATATCTCATATCAAATCGAAATATCATTGCTTTTGAAGAACGGAAAATGTATCAATTAAGCTCAACTCTCTTATATTGTAGAATAATGTCAACTTTGAATTTTCAAAACTAGGGATATTCCTATAGAGTTACACGTGAATGCTTTCAGGATTCAAAGAAATATATGCTTTCAGATTCAAATATAATATAACGCAGAAGAATAATCTAGATATTGAAAGTTTATTGCAATTTGTTAACACTGTTTCATTATTTGACAAATGAAATGGAAAGGATACTATGATTTATATTTCAAAGAGCATGTTTTGTCTTACTTAGGTGTTGTCATAAATAATCACCGCCCTATTTTGTTCTTTACTTTGTAGGCACGCCTTGTGTAATAAAGGGTGCCGTGACCAAGACATTGATTACATGTGAGACTGCTGCCAAACCAGTATCAACACCAGCCAGGCACGCAGGTAATATCACGGTGTACCGCATATATGTACAGTGATGATGAGATAAGGGACTAATTTCTATCTGCAGTAAACTTCGTTAATGTAATATCTTCATTATATTATATATTGGTTCGGATCTCTATGACTGATCTCAATTAACATAGAACATTAAGATGTTTTCTTTTTATAGACAATCTAAGATATAGTCCTTGAATGAAAACACGCTATATAAGTAAGGCACAACTATGTATATTTTGTTTACTACATATATTCCTCTACCTTTAATGTCGTTGCTAGGTAACCGTGGTCTGAAGCTAGAAATCTGGAATGCGACCACAAAGACGCAGGCTTTGCTGTCCGAGGTTGGGGCCTTAGACAATACTGCTGCCGACTATTACATGGATTTTCTGGATGAAGCATACTACACTGATAGTACTATGGACAATATGGTCACTAAGATGAGCGGATTCTTCGTGCCTCCTTTTGATGGGGACTACAGCTTCCATATCAAGGCCGACGACGGGGCGGAACTGTACCTCAGTACTGATGACAATCCTTCTAACATGGTAGGCCTACAGCAATTTTAATGCTTGTATAATTGACTTGGTTGTTTGAAAAGAGGGTCCGTTCGAACCACTGCCTGATAACTCTGCGTTTACCCTTTTCTGTTACACTTGAGACAATATGCCTCCCCATACAATTCAAGTATTTAATCAACCAAGAATTTCCAGTCAATGAACAGTTTTTCATATCAAACTTTATTTGTATATTGAAGTTAGGTTTTATTCGTTTATATGTTCAGATTCAAACAATATTACCTAGTGAAAATATTGTTTTCAGTAAAACAATATTCGCGGCAGTCTTCGATCAACATAACCCTTTATGGAAAACTGATCATGACACTTTCATAGATATGTCGAACTTTGACCTTTTATCAAATGTTTTATAGGCAAGGATTGCTTACTCTGGGCTAGCCAATAACTATTACACAACGAGCAGCCAGAGCTCCTCAAGGAAGACACTATCCAAGGCTAACAAGTAAGCAACATTTCACAAAAGGCAGTTTCACCCATAGGTAATTTAATTAGTTTTCAAACTGTTTTTTCAGTATGGGCGAGTGTGTACGGCAATTTTGTTGACAATTTTATACATTCAGAAAGGATGAGAAAGGAACCTTATGGCCTCAGTGCAAAACTGACGAGGGGAGTAAATACTTCATATTATTTGTTTTCCTTGGTTTTACACAGATTCTAAGCAGCATATATAGTATCTAATTTGTATAAATTAGAAATTCAGAAACGTAACAAGCAGGATACATATACAAGAACCGGCACACATACGCATGCAAACATATAAAAACGATGGTGTACCATAGCGGTTAGTGCAAGGATTAGGTTTGCCTCTGCACTGATTGTGAATATGTCTCGTCTTCCTTTAAATCTTTGATAAATGTCATCCAGTAGTTTTTTTTAATATATTATTGCATTTCGAAAACATTTAGTTGCAATTTAACGTGAATCTAATTTATGTTCTACTTTTTGTAGATATTACATGGAGGTTTACCACCGTGAAGGAACATCCGGGGCTTTTTCTAAAGTTTCAGCTCGCTTTTACAACACCAATCTAACAAGTGCCTATACAGATAACGTCAAATCCGAGGAACAAAGTATAGAGGTCGCTTCAACTGTCAAGCGCGAGATACAGAGCCTCACATTTTCTGGTTTCTCAAGTGGTTCGTCGACCTCTGCCGTCCAGGAAGTCACAGTTGAGGAGAATGTATCTGGAGCTGGGGGACAGTTCCGTTTGGGACTGTATACCGCATTTACAGGTACAATTACTAGAGTGGTGATCGGAACCACTATATATTCACATTTACAATCACTGGTACAGCGACGAGCCTATTTTCTGTTCTCATATTTGCCATCAAAAGTAAAATAGTCAAAACTGTTTTTATATCAATGACGAATTTAGAAATTCTAACTAATTAGGTCATACGTGAGTAACTGCCAAATGATACATTTCGCTGCAGTATCCCGTTCGTGTATTTCACTCGCAATGAGGTAACATTTATCATGACAGCGAATATTATAATACAGCAAACCAGACATAGTATTTATATGTGAAGAGCTAAATGAATTATTGGTGATCAATAATTTTACGGTGTAGGGCGAATATTTTGCTCAACGAAAGTTTTCCCGGTGTACAGTTATGTATTTACACACTTTTCCTTTGCTGATCATTCATTTCCTATTCATTATGGCAAGTTTATTGTTACACTCTCGATATACATATCCTTTGTAGCATTTACATTAAATTACGAAGATGGACATGTAAGGTCTCAACCGGAACTATTTTTTTGTCTTCACGACAAACTTTGACCCGGCTTCAATATACATGGTGTTGCCTTTCCCTTGTTATCCTTACCCTTTGTTACTGCAGATTTGATTGAGTTCCAAGCCGACTCTTCTGACGTAGCAACGGCCATCAATAACTTGCCAGTGTTTGACAGCGGAGAGAGTGTTTCCGTTACGGCTGTTACAACTTCGACCAACGGCATCAAGTATACCATCACCTTCACCTCGGAGAGGGGTATGTCTTGAAATCGTAAACCTTGAAATGTGATTTACACTGTATGAATCTATGTTTTCAGATATTTTTCCCTGATAAAGCATTACAAACAAATAGGACTTTAGGTCATATTTGGAACAAAACATCTATTAACGTGATGTAAGGAATCTGATCATGATTCGACACGTTTATGCAAGTGAAAGGGAGTTGTCATTGTTTTTATGCATTTTGTAAACAGGAAATTTCCCTGCATTTGATTCGGAGGCTGCAGGTTCTCTCACAGTGATTGTTGCCAAGACAACGACAGGGACTCCAAGTGGTGCCGTGGTAGCCTTGTCTATGGCGGGAATTCCTGCACCTTTGGTGGCTGCAGGAGCATCGTCCGGCGAGGTAAATTATAAGCTGAGGATCGAAGAACATTTTTCATTGCTATGCTGGCCTTCTTTTCCTTTGTATACATTTCCATATATCAGATCGAACTGTTCCACTCGTGTTGTGATTTGTGTTTAAAAACTCCAAAGCAGACATAGTGTGTAGGACATGTACTGCGTGATGATTGATTTAATTAAAAACTAAACTAGATATAAAGTTAATCCTTATATGTATAGTTTTTTTTCTTTAATATTACATAAACCGCGTTCTTTTAACCGGAATATATACCACGGGAGGATTACAAGCATTCCTTTCAAGTCCGATGTGTGATACAGTTACGCTTCGCGCCACGCTTCGAAGGCCATCGTGACATGATACGACCAAAATCGGCTGCATATCTGCAAAATAACAACGTATTGGTTTGTATGTTCGCTCTTGAACATGTAGTCATAACTCATTAGCGGTAATTCTTACTTCAAAGTTGCTCTATGCGACTATTTTTAGCACAACTTGCAAAGTTGCGTAACCCGATGCACTCGTACAATATTAACTCTCACGCGTAAACTGTTATGATTAAATCATATCGTTGTCATTCCATAACCAGTTTATCTCACAGTTACATTTAACTCCAAAAGATGTCCCGTTTAATTCCGGAACGCTATAATATGGCCCCAACGGCTCTCAGTTTTGGAACTCTCCTGTGTTTTTGTAGACTCCACGGTAACGGTAACTAGGCATAGTGCCTACGAAATCACAAACACACGAAGTAATTTTATAATTTTGATTTAAACTTCAATAATTGCTAAACCCAGTTTGTGTGATGTGATATAACTATCAGCATTTAGGCAGGCATATGGCATGTAGGTCATGTAAATTTATCGAATCCGTCCTGTGATTACCTATTATCTACCAGCCTTATCGAATGCAGTTGAAAATATTACGGCAAAGTTGCCGTATATCGAACGTTATTGTCAAAATTGAATTAACTATCGTATTTCAGGGTATTGTTTACACTATATTAACAATGTAAGCGTACAAGTTCTTCTTTTTACTTCCGAAAATAGCAATGGAAACCCCCGGGCTGTTGACGTACACATATGTACATACGCACGAGAATGACTGTCGTTATCGAGTGATACTGTCAATTGACCTCAACAAAGGTTATTGAGTCAATTTCACTGGTATATTGCACAAGCTGCTGGTTTGATATATATATCACATTCTATTATTCTCGCAAGTTGCTCCGAAACTGGTTTTTTTGGTTCCTCCTAAAACCCATATACCAAAGAATTTAATTTCTCCTTAAAACAATGCATGTTTTGTCTTCTGCGATGGCAGTGCATTTTTTATGCAAGAGATGAGTTATACGTTAAAATTGTTTTTATTTGTTTTAATTCCTCAGGTACAATCTGCCATGGAGAAGCTTTTCAGCACACGTTGCCCATCGGTGATATCGAGCCCTGCAGGGAAAAAAGTGCAATACACTTTTGAGTCCTACTCCTCAACTCCTTCCTACAACCGGAACTACCGTTATTCAGAAACGGAAGCTTTTTGCGGCAAATATGTCCTCAAAAACCCGAGATATATCTTCAAATCGACTTCTGACATCGATCCAGTTTCTTTGACAATGAGCCCAAAGGTATGCTTTTCACAATTTTATATACAAATAGACTATATTAAGAGACGACGGAAAGGGGAATTTCTACATCATCGAAACATTGAGTAATCGGTTACTATGGAGACTACTAACATTGAGTAATCAGTTACTATGAAGACTACACACATGGATGCCCCGATCATGCTCTAAAATCATATTTTAGGAAATTTCCCGCTTCGAGGAATTTCAAAATATGATTGTAAAATAATTCGAATAGCTAACAATTTCTATTTCAAAACTTTTAAGTATTGTCTTATGTATCAGGCAGCAGCGAACTAACTCACGATATCTACGATAAACAATAAACACTGCACTGTCGCAGTTTTTCGGCAACTCAATCTCTCAATCATGTATGATATATAAGCCTTTGATAGGAAAAAAATAAGCTTCTGCAGTTAAGTTCTTGATCCATATGAGATGTATTCCCGAAAACATAGCTTTATATAGAAATAATACCCCTCCAAAACTGTTGTCATTATTTATTAAATGCTTAAATTTAATTAAGGATTATTCAACAATCACGCAATGGTAACTGTCTGTGTTGTAGCTGTGTTTTGCTCACCAAGGAGCCATCGGGACCAATTTAAGAGTGTCGTATAGATATACAAATCAGCAATCAGAGGCTGTCGAAACATGGTCAACACTGACGGACGCCATCACAACCACTGTAACTAGCGAGTAAGTTGGCTAGCTTTTCTCTTTTGTCCTTGTTAGAGAGATGACAGTTTTTTACTGCAAAGCACTTTGTCTGCATACTTATTGTAAAACAGGATATTTTCGTTCTTTTTTCTTTGTTAGGGAGGACAAATGATACCTGGACTAATTCTATGTTATTCACCTATAGAAATAGCAGTTGACTGGTCAATCGTTTGCAATTTAGTTATATATCTTTGAGATTGAGAATGGTTTCTTTATTTAATGTTTTGTTCTCGTCCGGTGGATAAAACAATGAGCAGAAAAGCTATTGCTTGTCATACGTAGCATGGTTAATATATCAAATTGATTGGTTAAACGCATTACACATTAAGGAAATTTACCGATTTTGAACATGACACAATTTTCGACTTGTTTTTCGCCTCGTGCAAATAAACGACATGTAATAGCCACACGCGAATAGGTACAGATCTATTATACAGATTATAGATGTATAGAGTATGGATTATCGATTGCCAATGAGAAAAGTGTCACGCCGTGATGAGTTTAAAAAGTCAAACTCGAAAATTTTCAAAATGCGAGCACTTTTAGCTTTACTTTCACTGTACAACTTGACAGGGAATTTCTCAATTTTTCATTGGTAGATGGGAGTACAGTTGCATTGAGATCTTCACTGATATAAGCGCCCTTGTGAGCGGAGGAAGCCGATTCTTCCTCAATGCAGCGATCATCTATCGATCCGGCGATGTTTACATCGATGAGGTGTATATGGGAACAAAGGAACCGACCAGCGACGGTAATATATCAAATAAGATTTCATATTCTTTCGTTATTATAAGGACACAAGGACAAAACATATTAAAAATCTATCAATGCCATAGCTACACTTTCAAATGAGTTATTGAAATAATCCTGGTATGAAAAAAGGTCATTTATTTCGTTTTAGAAACATAAACAGGCAAAAATGGCCGCGTACAAATATAAACTTACTAAAGATATGTAGATATTAAGATTCAGAACCATTGCCAAGGAGAAAAATTCGAAATTGTGATCTGTTTATAGAGGCAAAACTCGAAAATTTTCACAAGCGAAAATATTTCTTTTAAGTCTGCTGTCATTATTTTTAAATATACGAGACTAGTATACTTGATACCTATATAAAGGCACGGTTGGCCGATAAGCAGATCAATGAATCTTGAAATATTTTCTTTGAACAATATCGATACAAAAAAACAACGAATTGATTTTGCGTTTTTTTGGAACAGTTGGCATTGCCATGCAACGTCTGAAGGCAGCTAGGCCGAACGGTGTCAAGATTGACAGCGTTATAGTGGCTGAATCGTCAGGTAGTCACCACGTAACTCTTGTCCCGCTCAATTGTGGATACAACTTCCCTCTCTTCACGTCCGACTCGGCACAGGTA